ATGGTTTCAATTATTTTAATTTAATTTAATTTTAATTTTAATAATTAATTTTTCTTTTTTCAGTTCTTTTTTTAGCACTTATACCAAAGCACCACAAATTACAAAAATAGTTAGCTTATGCTCAGATTATTTGTGGCTAATCTTGGCAATGTTGACTAACAAACTGTGGTGAATAAACTCAAATCAGTGGAGACTATGATCAATCAGTTCCAAAAATAAATACAAAACCTGTGCTAATCGAAAGAAAAAAAGTTGATAGAAAGATTGAATCCAGTATTTGGTGGAATGAGAAATATATAAGGGCAGTCATTTTTGACCAGAAATACCATAAGTGTAACAAGATAGGGGAAATCCTCCCAAAAAATAATAAAAAATAAATAAAATAAGAGTCCAATGCATTAAGTCAAAAAGACTTAAATACAACATGAGGGTTAAATTAACAATTAAACTGTTTTAATTTAGATATACTACTATAATGATGCTCGAACAACACACTCAACTTATCCATCTGGGTTGGAGGTTGTGCAGTTTCCAAACAACCAACGAGGTTAGGAAAAATGATGTGATCGACTTACTTTCATTGACAAACACTTTAAAAATTGTTTTGTAAATTGTAAATCAATCAGATCATTATAGTATACTTCATTTCTTTCTGTTTCTTTGTAATTATTTGTGAAATTCACAATTTTACGTTTTAGTATAATTCAGTGTATATAAATTTCAGTATAATTTTGCCATGAATTTGGAATTTTAAATGTTTTTTTTTTAAATGTTACATTTAACATAGAAAAACACCATCCTGATGGTACAAAGGAGACATGCTTCCCGGATGGCACGGTCAAGATTCTCCACTCAGATGGTCAAGAGGAGAGCATTTTTCCAGATGGAACTGTTGTCAAGATATCACCGTAAGATTAATGTCTGCCTTTCCTGTTTGATTGTTTCTTTTTTCTTCTTATTTACTCCCTTACACACTGTTTCCACAGACACGGGGAAAAGGTGGTGGAGTTTACTAACGGGCAGAGAGAGATTCACACTTCACAATACAAGCGGAGGATGTTCCCGGATGGAACCGTTAAAACTGTCTACACAAATGGGAGGCAAGAAACAAAGTTCTCATCTGGGAGGCTTCGCATTAAGAACAATGAAGGCCTCATTATATTGGACAAAAAATGAACTTCTAAAAACTTTTTTCATGTTATTTTTTTGTTGTTTTTCATATTGACAAATTTAGTAACTATTCTTATGAGGCTTTAACTGACCACATACTGAAGAAGTTGTTTCAAGTGCTGTTTTGTACTTTATTAATTTATTATTGAAACTGTATGACAATCGGATGAACTAAGCCTGTTTATTTTTACATGTACTGTCAACAGGCGTGTTATATTGCTTAGAGTACCTCTCAGCACGAACACATCTGATACAGTATGCAGGTGAAAACTTGTGACCCTCTGACCTAGTGCTGACATTGTACTACATTGCAACACTCTGGTTCCAGTAGAGGAACATTCCTGAACTAGTAAGAGAGAGCTGGTAACGTCGTTGATAACTTGATACCTGAGAACATTTCAGGGAAACAGTTATTTTTATAGAGTCAGTTAAAATGTCTTCTTAATGTAATTTTTAGTCTTTGTTTACAAGTAGCCACACATTATTATTTAATAATATATAATTTGGATCAGTTATCACTCAGAAGTTATATATGATGTCTCGTTCTTTTCTGATTTGGTCACAATATTATTCTGTTCTACAGAAACTGGCACAGAGAGAGAATAACCCTGTGTTCATTTACTGTTGTTTTTGAAGGGTGTATTTTAAGATAAGTTACATTTTCCTGATGTTATGCCTTAGAAATGCCCTATTTGGTATTTTAAGTTTATTAAAATATGCAAAGATATGTGTTGCTTGTTTGTCTTAATTGAGCATTAAACCTGAGGATGTTTTGTGGTCTGACCTTAGTATGTGTATGTAAAATATACACTACCATTCAAAAGTTTGGGGTCGGAAAGTTTTTTTCTTTCATTAAACAAACATGATTTCTGAAGGATGAATGTGACACTAAAAACTGGAATAATGGCTGTGGAAAATTCAGCTTTGCCATCACAAGAAT